CAGCAACAAAAACAACATCAACAAGGCCAACAATGCCAGCAGCAAGCCGTCAAGTGAACGCTACTCGCTGCAGCTGAAGCCAGCAACAACAGCAATAACAACAGCAGCAGCAGCAGCAGCAGCAACAATTGTCGCAACAGATACAGATGCCACGCCCACCAAGCCCATTGAGCGCTCCGCAACAGTGGGCGAATTTAAGGGCATTCACCAGCGTCGTGCAGAGTGGGAGCAGCGTGTGAAGGAGGCGCTCAAATAAGCCGCTGTTAGCCCAACAGTGAGCGCTGTTAACTAACAGAATCGCGTTACCTGCTGCTGTTCATGCTCTGCTATCTAGTGATGCTCTCTAGTAGTAATGTAAACGAACACAACTCTAAAGCAAACGACAACTAATGACTAAAAAGAAGTAGAGAAAAAAAGAACAACAAAAAGAAGAAGAGTTAGACAAGGAAAGGAAAAGAATAATAATATTAATATTAATAATGTTAGCACATATTAAACGAGTTGGCTGTTTGAGCCCATCCAAAGAAACGAGTTGCGTCTTCGATCGATCCTCAAAATGATTAGTTTGTTTGGCTTATCGTTAATATATATAGTTTTTGCGTTTCATTTGTGTTAGTGCACGTCAAAATCTTATATAAAATAGAATCATAAATAAAAAAAAATTGAAATGAAATGGAAAACTAGAACAGACAACTTGAAGGACTGTGAGTTAAATTTACAAATAATAATAGTAATTCCTAATGATATTCTACGAACAGCTCTGATCTTGATTTGCTGTAAAGCTGATATTCTCCATCTCTCTCTAACTAACTAACTAACTAACTATCCATTTAACTAATGTAAGCAACTTAATGTGTAGACAAATGCGAGCTTTTGAACAGGATCAATTTCCGTAACAACTCTAATAATATCTGTAATAGCATTTAATCTATTATTTTCATAGCAATATATAAAAACTAAATAACGATATATATATACATATATGTAATTGTGAAATAATTCTTTTTTGGGCTTTGTAAACCTTATGAAAAACTGTTCAAGTTTGTGTAAATTCTATATATACATATATATAGTTATCACCTATTGAGCGCATATAATATACTGACAAATATGAGATATATCTATACATAAATATATACAATCAAATTTAATTAACCTGTACGCTCGCGGAGCATCTATTTCAACATATACAAATAAAAACAAAATACTTGAATGTTAAACAACAGAAATCAATTTACAAGTGCTTTCATTTTTTACTAGCTTTTAAGTCTAACTCCCGGGTTGAGCTCTCATGTGCGGCGTATGTTTTCCGCATGTTTTCTGTAGAGCTTTTTTTGAGAATTTTCCGGTTCTCTTACCTATTGACTTTGCTTGAAATCAGAATTCAAGTTTTAAAATAGAGTAGAAAGTCAATGTAATTCATATATGGTAAGAACTATCTTACCATATAATTCCAAAGGTGAGTAGTAATCTATAATATACATGCTT